TATACAAGAGAGAGAGAGAGAGAGAGAGAGAGAGAGAGAATTTTTAAGTTTCGGCAAAATTTGAGGCACAATTAGCTGGACGCAATCGCTTGTTTATTAAATAATGAAATTATTCCATCGATTTGTGATCGGGGAATGCCTCGGAAATTTCGCTATCTAATTCCCGAAGGCACTTCGCGGGTAAAGACTTCGGAAGGAAGCTCTGCCGTGGTCGTATCGCGAGAAGACGTTAAAGGTTCATCCAAGTACCGATCGGGGGGATATTATAACTCCATGTGCGAGCGAGCGAGAGCGTACGCGTGCGCGATGTCGGCGAACTTTCCGAAAATCGCGGAGAGGCAATAACTCGGGATGGAAAAACGACGGGATCGTTTCGTTTCGATGGAAACCCTTCTCCCAGCCGATGCCGCTCCACGTGAGCCAGCCGATATCACTCGGACGACCAATTTAAAGTTACGATTCGCCGGCCATTTTCGTGTCCCCGAGGGATGACAACGGCGCCAGCGGTGCGGTGCCCGGATTTGGGATACCCGAAATGCGGTTTGACGGCTATTACCGCATCGGCCGGCTATTTCTATCGATGGAGGACCTGACTTGCGCGAATTTTTAAGATACGCTCACTCGCTGCCCTGGGAAGTGTCCTAAATGTCGTATCTGGGCAATCCGTTTCGGAAATAACAGAGTTCCGAATTTGAGACCCGCAAAAAATCTCTCCTCATTTATAAGTCAGCTGAGCCGTGAGACGTGTCAGGTAAGGGAGAGGTCAATCAATTATTTAGATCAAAATAGATTGAATTACCTATGAAAATAACAATTCGATAGCTTCGTTCTCGCGATGTAAAAGTGAGACGAAGGAAAAGGTTTACAATATTTTAGCAAAAAGAACTTGATGACAAGTTATTTTACGTGGCTGAACATTAATTTTATTTCTCGCAATAGATTGCGAAAAACACAATCGTGTTCGAAAGAATTGTTAAAACACGTGTTATAACTGAACAAATTTTCAGAGAGGAGAACAATGATACGAGAAAGTGAATTTTGCAAATTATTGTTAATATTACACGCGTACTTATGCACTTAAAACGGGAACAAACCTTAAAAAATGTTCATATTGCATTAATAATCTACGACACGATGACTTTCATTATTCATGCTCGAAATAAAATTTTGTCATCTCGAACGGCGCTGGATTATGTTCTCGGAACTTTCTGGGAATATACGATTTCGAAATCACGGCGCAGCACTTACGAAACGTCTCGTTACGTGCACATACGCGAGACGGCGGCAATGCACTCGAAACTTTCGTCGGGATAAACGACTTGCGGTGTATTTTTATAACGATTTCCTTTTTAGTTTTCTCGCTTCAACTTCGATTCCGGAAATAGTCATTTCGGGAGGGAGAGAGCACCAGTGGTGGGACGGCCCTTGCGACTTACGTCTGACAATCGAATGAAACTGTGCCGTCGCCGGGGACGACGAGGACGGAATGTAAAAAGTTTCAAAGAGAGGAATTTCAATTTGTGTAATATCAGATATTTCGGATTCTCTGCTGTCCGGCGTGAAAGGGAGAAGAAAAGAGAGAGCACGAAAGAAAGAGAAAGAAAGATAGACAGAGAGAGAGAGAGAAAAGAGGGAGACGGGATTTAATCAATTAGGTGAACGCGGGGCGCGACGGCGCGAATAACTGCATGGCGAGGAAAAGTTTGGCGTGGAAACGTGCCAATGTCGGCGATCCTCCTCGTCCCCGTTTTATCGCGATTGCCAATCATGAGGCTCGAATGGGAAATTATGTCGAGCGAATAAAGCGAAATATTAAGATGAACGATCCTAATTTCGCCGCGCGCGGATGGAACTATTTCTCTAACGGAAGCGCGGTACCGTTTCTCGTTTCGCGGGCACTTTCTAAGGGCGCATTATTCAACGGCGTCGCGGCGACGTTGCGCACGTAGAAATGCTTGAAATTAAATATGCGCTTTAATCGCGCGGTCGACTTCCGTCGCGCTCCTTCGGAATTTTCGCGGGCGTTCGCGAACTGTACCCGCCCAAGCGCGTTCGCGCCGCTGACTATAGATGCATTTTGCATTTGACATGTGCATAGAATACATACTTTGGACGTTGCAACTGTTACGTCACTCACGGTCGACAAACGCCGCTTTCACGTCAAATCGGTTAGCGCACGACTGCCGAGACCAGCTATTATTTCGTACCCTCATTTTAAGAGGCACAATCGCCCGGTGTTTGCACTTCGATGAATTTTATTTCAAAAATGTTGGAAAATGCAAGGATAAAAACTTTGATATGCTCATTGACATCAAATTGAAATTAACTCGACATAAAGTGAATGATATAACAATCCATTAATATTTAAAAGCAAGAATGTAAGCAGATTTTACTTGGAATATATTCATCTGTATTGCGTCAAACAGATTATATTTGTTAACGAAATGACTCGTTCTTTCGTCCGAGCTTAAAAATGGACCAAATTGATTGAGGCTTATGAGTCAATGGTGACTTAAATATATATCACTTTTTTGCCAGTTTGGTCGATTTTTAAAAATTTCCCCTTGTTTAAAAATGGATTTTGGGCTCTCTAAAAGTCAATCGGTGCATTATCACTGAAAACGCTGCATAATTCAGTGCTAAACTTAAAACTGCGAATCAGTGAATATTCACTATTTTCAGTGATAATCCACTGATTGACTTTCAGAGAGCGTTTATGAGAGATCTCTATTGTAGGAATCTGTCGGACGCGTTAGTTGCATTAGTTAATGCTGGGCATAAAGTTCCGCGTCTAACGGCTCACGGGCGAGGAGATGAGGGCTTGGACAATTTTATCTCGACGCGTAACAAGGTTCATGGCGCGCGGGATAGTCGACGTATATTTGCGGAAATATCGTGGATTCCCTCCCGTACGTCCGAGGTTTCGCAGTTCCTTGGCGCGTCCGCTGCATATGCTTCCGCGTACGTACGTGCATACGTGCACGTGGCGCACGTACACGTGTGTGCGTGCAGCGGCGCGAGTGGCACGGAAAGGCGAAAAATACTTTTCGAATAAATTGTCGCGCAGGAATTCCACGGCGATGCGCCGAACAAAACGCTGCCACGTTGTGCAGCACGTACGAAGGGAGAACGGAAGAGGAAGGTCGGCTGGTCGGTCGGTCGGTCCGTCGGTTTCGGCGAGACGCCGCGCCGGAGGGTACGGAGCGTCTCGTAAAAATGCAAACTTCTCGCTTCGGCCGCGAGAGGAACCGAGCCGGTCGTTGCGCGATCCAATGTTGTCGCTTCGCCTGCGCCACGTCCAAAAAGTTGGACGTGGCATTGTGAAAACGGAAAAGAAGGAAAACGACGGTGGCGGGCGGCGCGAGAGGGAGGGGGGGAAAGAGGCGAGAGAGGAAAGTCGGACAACGACGGTAAAGCCACCCCTGTGAGAGAAACTCGCGGGAAGTTCGCTCCGTACGTCGCGTCGTTGCAACGCGGGTGGTCGCGGGGGTTGCTTCGGAGATGGAGGAGAAGAAAAAGTGAAAGTGAGGGAAGGAGAGGGGGAAGCGAGGGAGCGAGTAAGTGGATCGCGGGGGACGTTTTCCTGATTTGTCAGGGGGAGAGGAGGGGCCGGAAAAGCGGCTCTGGTTACCGAGAGTACAATATCGCTCACGTACTCGGCGATTTGGAAATGTCGATTCCGACTTTCATCGTTCAAGTCACCCTTCGGCTCCTCCTTTCGTCCCTCTCTCGCCCTCTCTCTATTATCCTTGTTCTTATATTTTTATTATACGAAGGCTCATTTTCACTCGTAATTATTTTTCTGTGCAACTTGTCTAAAGGCTTGTGTCCACGATGCTGGAACTTAATTCAAGTTCTAAAGTTCTAGCCTCGTGAACACAGACCTTAACCCTTTAGGGGATTTGTCTCGGAGCGTTTAATAAATAAAAATTCTATCTTCTCTCTCTCTCTCTCTCTCTTTCTATTTTGAAAAACAATGCTTTATTATCATACTACTGCCGTTCGGCTTTCTGAAATTGCCAAGCTGCAATTGGTTTTTGGTTTTAGTTGATGCATGTGCGCGTAAAACTGAAATGCAGGGTTGCATCTTGCATCTTTGAATTATTTCCCGTATCATGTTCAGCGACGTGAATACATATTTTCCTTCCGATCGTCGTGCGGGACAAGAGAACGATTGATACAAAGAGCGTATCGCCCCATGTGGAATGAACGATGATTGAGGGCAGGATACTGAATTGCTTGGGGCGAACCGAAGGTAGTAATAATCTTGGAAAGCAATTAGCAGCCGAAGGGTCGACGAAAACATCAGAAATCTGTTTCGAGTTGATTACTTTCTTACAGACGACTCTCGGTGTATCGTTCGGAGTGGTTTACCACATTCCCGGTTTGTTAATCGACCGATTGCAATCGGACGAGAGGCAGAACAAAATCCGCGATAATCGTTTTTGCAGTTGACTGCCGCGTCTGCGAGGGGGACAATCCGCGCGGCGATATTTCTTGTCGAAAGACGGGATGAATTTGTATTTCGAAATCTTATCACTCGGTCAGTTTCGGTCGAACGAGGTGATTGTTATTCAAGTCCAGTCGCATTTGCTAACACTCTCAATAAATGTATCTGGACTCTGTTGCATTAAATTATCGAGGTGTAACGAAATATCAGCAGTACGCAAGTTGTACCGATGTGTACGTAATTGATAACCGCGACATGAAATTCATTATCCCTAATTTCCGAAGAAATAGCGGAGGAGAGGACGAACTCCATTGAGCAGGTAGGAAGGGGGAGAGAAACTACATAAATCGCTCGAAGCCAAACGGAGAGACGCGCCCTCGAAGGCACTTACTCTTAACGCGCTCCAAGTATTCATAGTTCCCTCGCGCGCATCAAGTTATTCCGCCTTAGTGGTGTAATGAAGAGGAAGCGGCGCGCACTACTAACCTGAGGTGGATAGTGATCCGGTAGGGCACGCAGGGCTTCCCTATACGCCGACAGGGCTCTTTGTAATCTACCCTGATCGGCATACAGCGCGCCTAATTGAAGGAGGGCCTGCACCCTGGCCGCCTCGTGAGCCCTTTTGTCCTTCAAGCCGGAGCCATCCAAGGATGCACCGGCGCGCAAAACCGCAGCTGCCTCGGTGCCACGTCCGACCGAAATCAACGCGGCTCCCAGGTTCACATAAGCCTCTGCAAAGACAAATGATAAGGATTGTGAGATGCGGTGGATTTCGAGGGAGACCATCGATATTCGGGGAATTTAACCTCGGATTTAGTCTAGATATATAGACTGAGTTCTACATGCATCATGTTTTTCAGGCCCTTTAAATTTGTACATTATCGCACATATCTTCAAATGTAAATTACATACCTAAATATTTCTTTTTCATACATGTTGTATTTTAGAGAAGAGATGCATAGAGTTAAGAATATAAATCTTTTAGACACACTATTATTTATGAACTCTTTTGAACTCTAAAACAATGAAACTGTTTTAAACAAAGCTTTAAAATTCATTAATTATTATGCAATCTAAGACAGTATACATAAGACAATATGTATGAGCCCAAGAATGTACGAAATATACAAAGACGAATAATGAAAAGTCGGACGGCGCTGGATTATGGAGAATGATTTCACGAGCCAAAAAGATTAAGGGCCAGCCCTGGCTTGGCGGAAACTTTAAATGTGGCATTTCGTTTTCTCGACACTTTTATTTCTAACTTTAATTAAAAAACTCCTTTCGAGAGGACTAACTTTTCTAGGCCTTGGGATTGGAATAAGCGCTTTGTCGCTCAAGTAAAATTGCCATAATCTCTCTCAAGCCGCAAGGATGATAAGGGAGATTATGTACTAGGGAAACTTTCGGGCTAAAATAAAGTACGGCCAAGTTTTTTACAGATTTCGCCTCCATATTTACACGGTTATCTCTCAATCTCCTTATAGCAGTAAGCGACGAAAATGGCATACAATCGGAGAAAAAGTCAAACTTTATATTAATTCGAGATAATCTTATTATAACGAGAGTCTTCTGGTCCAAAATCAATTACTCTACAATTTCCTCGCGAAACTCCAAAAGAAACAAACGTAGAGGGCAATATAAAGTGAAGAAACGGATGTAATTTAACTGAGAATAAGAAAGGAAACAATAATCCGTCGCATTGTACTTCGAGACTTCGGCGAATGAGGGGAAAAGCGGCAATGAAAAATAGTGGGCCGTAAAAGCCGGACCCGTACCAATAGGTTCGCATTTAGTCTACGTGAAAACTTATTACACTCGGTACGCTCGGATACCACCTGTTACCATTTATCTCCCGAACACGCTCGCGCCTTCTTACTTCTTCCCCGTTGATGAATTTCGATCTCCTCGCGAAATGCGATCTCATCGATTTTAACGGCTGTCCGTGATGTCCGTCGTGCTCGAGAATTATCGCGCCGTTTGGGCGGTCAGAGAATGGGGCGGCGCCTGTTACCGGTTTCGATTGACAAAAACCGTGCCGACTGTCGCGATCGAAGAGGGCATTTGTAGGTGGGCCTGGATAGCTCAGTTGGAAGAGCATTCGCCCGGCAAGCGGAAGGTCCCCAGGTTCGAATCCCGGTCCAGTCCTGGCCCGTTATTTTTCTCGCCGAAGATTAAAGCGTCGTCTACAATACGTGGCTTGGAGTAAGGAGCAAGGGAGAACCAACATACAGGCATGCTTTGTAAAATATTTGTAACACTGACCCATGGCGTTCCGATTCACCGAGAGTAAGCGTACACGGAAAGACCGGCTGAGGCAAAGATAATTAAAATTAAAATGTTGCCGTATAAACAGTAGGGGCATCTACATTGTTTTGTGTTGCAACGTTCATTAAGTTTGCTGCACAAAACGCATATAATTGTCTCTACGACTTAGCATACCAATGTGGGTATGAGACGAATACAGATACAGCTGTCCCAAATATTACTATTTATTCGAATTATGCCAACCCTAATTAGACGTGTGGCAACCATTATCGGTCTCTCCGTGTAAGAGCTGAAGTAGGAGTAAGAAATAAAATAGTTTTGTTTCCTCATTTCTACTCCTTACTCCAGGCTTGCTCCATGCATTGTGGACAACGCATAAGAAGTGGCGCGTCTTAGCGCCTACCTCCCCGAAGATACACCCCTATTTACTACTATTTAGAATGGCGACCTGCTCGAGACTCGCGCGTTTTCGTGACCGGTGCGCGCCTGTGCCTCGTGTTATTTTGAATAAGGAACCAGGCGGCTGCGGTGTCGGGTAATCCATTTTCCTCGCCGCCGCTCCCCTGGGATACTCTATGGAATTAGAGTGCCGACCGGGCTTCCTGTATCCCCCGGATCAGGATGAATGTGTACGCGACGAGGCTCGCAACGGGCGCACGCGCACGCCCCACGGCACTCTCGTGTCGATGTTGCGCTACTTAACCCTTGCCTCATTACACAAATTACGCCTTAACGGCGATACATTTCAATCAACGCGGACTGTCGCTAGATAGCGCTTTGTTTTTCGAAGCGCAACGATGTACTCTCTAAAATTTTTCGAGTGAAATTTTCACTCGAATCGTCGTGTCACTGACCACTTGACTCTAATCGAGTGAATATTTACTCCGGTAGAGTGAATTAATTCACTCTAAGACAAAAAGCGAGGCCGTTGGCACTCCAAAATCCACATTTTTTTGAAAAATATATAACATTTTCTTTCGCGGTTTTTTTCGCGACAATCAGTGAATATTAGAATACAGCTTCTGTATGCGACGATCATAGCGAACAAACAACACAGCGAAGCTCCCGTCCATGAATTTTATATTGCCAACAATAATCGATTAAAGCAAAACATAGCGCTCTTTTCAGAAATCTCACTCTTTTGAAGTGAGATTTCACTCCAAAAAATTTAGAGAGTACGACAAAAGCTTTACCCCAATTTATCGTATTCACAATTAAGAGAAACAACCCTCGGTTGGCAGCAGTCGGGGATAAAAAATAGCCGCGAAAGAGCGTTGGAAAACTGTTATGAGAAGAAATAGAGAAAGAAAAACGAAATTAAAGTAGTGTGAGATTGAAGTGCGATTTTATCTCGCCGTTAAAAGACAAATTCTGATATTACAGTCGTCGCCATGTACCTTTTACGCAATCGCGCTTTTTTCCATGTCGCTAGATGCGACAAATGGAATATAAAATTCGCAATCAATTTGAATTGTTTAACATTATCACTACAAATTCCCCGCATTTCGGCCCCAGCGTTCCGGAAATATCGGGCGCTTAAGAGGCGGCGGCAATCGACACGCGCTAGATAATTACGTCGTAAAAAGTTCGAAGATCGTACGCCTCTCCTCGCGAAACGGCGCGCTATAAAACGGACTTACTCTCAATCTTTCGCATCGGATTTGTTCGCTCTTCCCCCCCCCCCCTCTCTCTCTCTCTCTCTCGTCCTCTTTATCTCGAAGGGATATTGCGGCGCGTCGTAAAAAGAACGGAAGACAGGGGAAGAAGGCGAAATAAAGCGCGCGCGCGCGCGCGGTTGCGGTGGCCTGCGTTTGGCAGTGAATTATACTGTCCGCCTTTTGCGGCCGGCTCTTTCCACATAATCGTACCGGGTCGAAGAAGAGAGTCAGGTGGCCCGTCGACACACCGGGAAATGTGATGGCGGATTTGGGGTGGAGAGGACCACCGAGCGGGGCAGGTGGGGAACGGGCGAGGGAGGTAAGAGGGATTGTAGACTCCCGTGGGGGTCTACGGCGCAGGCGGAAGAAGGATGGGCGGACGGAAACTGCTGTTTCATCTCCGACTCCGCCAACTTGGCAAGACCGCCGCTCTGTTTGCTTCCTAATTACGAAAGAGAGAGAATAAGACGCGACGCAGGGTGGGCGGGAGGGAAGGGAAATGACGGGAGGGGGAGGAGGGGGGGGGGGAGAGCTGGGTTTCGAGGTGAATTCAGCTCCACTGCTCTCGCGGAATTAAGATTCCATTGTGCAGCCGAGTTTTGTGTGTGCCTTGCAATTTTCTGGTTAACCTGGCCGACTCCTGGCACGCCCGCCTTCCTCTCGCTGCATCACGCGCGCGCTGCATGGGCGCCGCGCGTCGCTCTGACGAAGATCGATGGCGCAACGACCGACGCCCCCCTTCGATTTATCGTTCGCGACACGCGCTGGTTTTCCGCGATAATTCGTTGCGGGCGCGCGGGATGTTCGGCCGCGCGGATAGCCTCGTTGATCTTGCGAGACAAAAGCGGCCGCATCGGGCGGGCCCCTGTGTGTTATTCATAGAAGTCGCGCGGGCTCGATTTATGCGCCGCGCCCCGGCGAGAAAAATTAATTGCGCCGACGAATGTGAAAGCGAAGCGTTTCAATTCGACGCCGTCGCGCGCGCGCGCGCGCGCGATGATCGATAGGACAATAGATCTCGCTCGTTTTTCATAAACCTAGAAATTGCAATTTAAGCAACACCCCGCGAAATAACACTGACACTCCATTGCTTCGTTTGTGCGTCATCAAATTGTGTTTCGGAGACGTTTGTATGACGGACAATGGGGTGCGCGTTGCGAAATTTTTTTAATATCTAAAAGTGAAATATTTTATTCCAATTTCTTATCAACCATTCTCTTCTCCTCGGTCAGCGCTTGCTCGAGGAGCTGAAATTTCTTACGAATTACAACCCTGGGATGCTACGCTGTCACACTGACCCCGGTAGTCCTGTACGAATCTCGCACGCGGGCAACGGCGACATAGCGCAGAGGGAAACTTTCGCGGGGTGACTCGGCCGAGTCCCGTTAGTTATTAAACGCGACCGTTAAGTACTGGCTGGCGGTGCAAGCTGTTGACCGTTGAAACGTTAGTTTCAAGATTACGCGACAATTTAGCGCGCGGCATGGCGATGTAATTTCGCACGCATCCGACTGTGACTCATTGCCGGAAGTGCTCGTTGCAGTTGCATGGGGAGAGAAAGGGCGTGAGAAAGAAGGGTGGGGGGGGGGCAGGGGGCTGGAAGAAGAAGTGAATCGCGTGGACCAAAAAGTATACCTCTCATTAGCGTATATAATATTAGGCCGCTTCTTTCGCGACACGTGCGCCATTTCGCGATTGCGACCGTTTTTCCGGGCGAAAACTTTCTGCGCGAGTTAAACATTTAGCAAACAATTAATTAAATTAAATTACGGCGAGCCAATGGCTGCTACGTGAACTCTTCTTCCTATCTGAAGCTCCGCGTTTCGGTCTGACCACCAATAGTGGCTTATCTACTTGAACGTTTACACATACCCTGTTTTATCCACTAGGAGCGCCGTGAAGTAATCTCGCAAGATTAAATGCAACGGGATTGCTAAGTGTCTCGACCGCTAAAATAATTACTCTGATTATATATAAGACCTTTATGTATATTTATACCGTATACGTTTTGTATATTTCAAAAGTGTTTAAATTCTACTGCATTTCTGAAGACTCGACTTAAAATAAGCTCTAAATACTTAAACGAGCCTTTATTCGTCGCCAAAATCTAAATACGAGGGAGAACAGTTTTACATTTTTATTAAATTCATTTGCGTGAAATTAATTTAAGATCGCGAAATCTACGAGATAATTTATTGACGACGATACCTCGCGGAGATATTTCAAAGGCGTCGTATCTCAAAAATATCCAACTCACGGAATTGATATAGTCACCCCTTTGATTTCTTTTTTATTAAAACCTCGCGCACGCACACACACGCGCATTATGGATCGAATATAGCACATCCGTATATTCGCGCGGTCCAAATCGCACGCGCGACCACCGTGCCGAAACACGAATGGACGATTAGACGAATGGACCATTCGGCAGTGATCCGGATTGAGAGAGGAGACCGTACATCCGCAACTCTCGGCTTTCTTTCTACCGCCGGCGGTCCCGTAAATCGGTCGTAACCGTCGAGCTTTTAAAACACGTCCGGCCCGAGTAATTAGTGGCTCGATCGGTCGCCAATTTGTGGATAGAGCTGCCGCAGGCTGCGCTCGCACCTTGCAATACGTATCTCCAGTCTGACGTGTGTGCCTACGTTTGCACGTGCACCAGCGGAACGCGGATGCGATGCGTGTGCACGTGCGCGAGCGAGAAAGCGGCCTTTATCGATTGGCGACGGTAAAGTGATCGCGCGTATGTGTGTGTGTGTGTGTGTGTGTGTGTGTGTGTGTGTGTGTGTGTGTGTGTGTGTGTATGTATGTGTGCGTCGGTATGCACGGATAGATGGTCGATTTGCGGATGCGTGTGCATACGCGCGCGCGCTTGTTGAAGCTGCATCGGATTCCCTGAAGCGCAGACGCTGAAAGTTGAACTAAGAAGACCGATAGCTATCTCGATCGCGACTAATCATCGATAATTGCTCGATTACATAATGGAAAAACCGAGAGAAGCCGGGAACTACACTTAAACAGATTGCGCTCGTCTAAAAAATGGTATCGCCCTCTCTTTCTGTAATTCGAAAACGCACTTTACGACAGTCGTTTCGAAAAGCTGCCTAATGTCTTGTCTTCGGAGACTCCCTGTTTTTTTAATAATAAACAACAATGGCTCCAAATCACAGTAAATAAAGGCGATAAGAGTCAAGGAAAATAAGACGAGTTCGCTAAAACGTA